GAGCAAGAAAGAATCAGTGTCTAATTTACCCCAGTGAGCAGAGTCCACAATCCAGTCCTGCACTCCTGCGTTCTTGATTACCCAGCGCTTTCTTTCGAGGCTTGCACTTTATTTCTCATTTCAAAGCAGTCTCTCGCCAGACTGCTGAAGAATTCATGGTTTGCTAACTCCATCCAACAAAATTTAATTTAAAGAGGGGCCTTTGTTGTCCTGTGAACTTCCTGTTTTGTGTCAGGAACCCTCCTTCTAGGAAGGGGGGCTAGGAGCAGAGTGTATGAGAAACTTCTTCATGGAAACCTTAAGCATTTGTTTAATAACTGGGTTTAAAGCACTGGACCAGCAGTCCTAAAATGAGTAAGAGCTAGACGTCTCATAGGTTGGGGGTAGGACTAAGTACCTGGCAAATGTTCCCTTTGGTCATGGCTATGACACAGGAAGCACAAAGTTCAGAAGTGTGAGGAGGAAGAAGCTTCCAGATACTGGCCCAGTGATCTTACAAGTTCTCTTTAGTATTTCTGGTTCTGTTTTTAAAGAAAGCTTATAGCTGGACTGTCTGAAAGATGTGTTCTTGTAGATCAGTGTGGGAAGCAGAGACCTGATCAGAGTCTTTTGTTGTTTTTCTTTTTCTTTTTATTGGATATTTTATTTACATTTCAGATGTGATTTCCTTTCCCCATTTCCCCCCAACCCAGGAACCCCCTATCCCATACCCCCTCCTCCTGGTTCTATGAGGATGTGCCCCTACCCACCCACCCACCCGCCCACTCCCACCTCCCCACTTTCTAATTCACTCACACTGGGGCATCCAGCCTTCACTGGACCAAAACCTGACAGTGCTATCCTCTCCTACATATACAGCTGGAGCCATGGGTCCCTCCCTATGTGCTCCCAGGCTGGTGGTTTAGACCCTGGCAGCTCTGGTTGGTTGGTATTGTTGCTCTCTCCATGGAGCCACAAACCCTTTCAGCTCCTTCATTCATCTCTCTAACTCCTCCATTGGGAACCCCATGATCAGTTCAGTGGTTAGCTGTGAGCATCCACCTCTGTATATGTCAGGCTCTGGCAGACCTCAAAGGAGACAGCTGTATCAGGCTCCTGTCAGCTTGCACTTCCTGGCATCCACATCAGCGTCTACGTTTGGTGACTGCACATGGAATGGATACCCAGGTGGAACAGTCTCAGATGACCCCTCCTTCAGTTTCTCTCCCACACTTTGTCTCCATATTTGCTCTCATGAGTATTTTGTTACTCCTTCTAAGAAGGACTGAAGCACCCACACTTTGATCTTCCTTCTTCTTGAGCTTCATGTGATCTGTTAGTTGTATCTTGGGTATTGCGAGCTTTTGGGCTAATATCCAATTATCAGTGAGTGCATACCATATGTGTTCTTTTGTGATTGGGTTACCTCATTCAGGATGATATTTTCTCTGTCCATTCAACTGTTGAGGGACATCGGGTTCTTTCCAGCTTCTGGCTATTATAAATAAGATTGCTATGAACATAGTGGAGCATGGGCACCTTGTGTTTGTGTCTTCTCACAGAGCGACTGCCACTGCCGCCCCCTTATGGAGTCTTTTAAAGTAGCTTTTCCTAGTTTTGTGGGAAACTGGACTTGTGGTCTGAGAAGGACGTCTATACACATAGCCCCTCTTCTCTCTGGGAGGTACCAGAGAGCCCATTAGGAAAGAAACAGACAGAAATTTGTAATCCATCTACCGCTGAGCTGTACTCCCCAGCCTTCTTCACTTTGTAACCTTTACCGTCGTATAAGGATCAGATAACTATTAGCAGTGCTGTAGGACTTGTCAGTCATCCATTCTGTGTACCAGACAGGGTTTTGGGTTTGGTTTTGGACTAGTTTCTTTATGTGTATAGTGCCACTTGCTGGCTGTAGAGATATTGCAGAAGCATGGGATGATGGTGGAAGCTTAGAAATCCATGTGTTCCTGCCGACGTTTGACTGTGTTTGCCAAAGTCTCCTGACTAAGAGAAACATATCAGCCAGCAGTGGGGAGACCCAAGGAACCCTGCACTATCGACAGCTCACTGTCCTTTTCCGCACCTGCTATTATCATTGTGACACCTGCCTGCAGGTGCCATGGAGTTTGATGGAGAAGAGGTTGACAGTACACTGGCCCCCTTTTTCATAGGTGCACAGTGGCAGTATGATTGGCCTAAATTAACCTAGTGGTTAACTCTCACAGAGCACTAGCATCTGTTTCTTCCTGGAACCATGGGTCCAACATAGCTCTCTGTAGGTCTTTCGAAGCCATCGCTGAGATAGTACTCAGTCAGATTCTGGTACTGATGAGCATGTGGCTTAACCATGGAATCTTGAACATCACAAAGAAGAAGTTCAGTTACAGAAAAAGTGTTTTTAGTTTAGTTTTGTTCCTTAATTTCATTTCAGACCTGAAATTGCTAGAGGACCTTCCTCAGGATGGGAAGGAGGATTGACTTTGTTGAAGACAGGAGCTAATAGCCTCTTGTCCTCTGTCTGCAGACTTGTCTGGACTAGCCCACCGGGCCTCACAGCTGACAGGCTCCATTTCTGTTACCTCATCATAGTTACGGGCCAAGCAGGAGCAGGTCCTTCCCAGTTTGCCTTGGCCTCAGCTTAGGTTTTAGCCCCTGCATTGGTGTTCACACAGCACCTGGGATGTCATGGGCCTGTGTCTCACTTATATCCTGCCTCAGTTCTTAGATCTTTACTCACAGAGTAGGTGCTTACTGCTTCTTGGGTGAGTACATGGGAAACCCATTGCTCTGCAGCTGCTTCTGTATCTTTAGGCATCTGTTCCTGGGATTGAAGTAGGTACAAAGCATCTTCCTTTTCCATGTGTGTTTGTGCATGTGTGTAGGTGTGTGTGGGTGTGTACATACACACCTAAAACTAACTAACCCTTATTAAAGCCATTACGGAGGAGATGGCATTGTTGTGATTATACCCAGTAAACAGAAGCACCAGAACACCCCCTTGCCAACATAGTTGCACAGCTGGGGACCTGAGACAGTACAGGCTCCCTTCCTAGCTGTGTCCTTATGATCAGTTATATGGATGGGTTAGTCATGCCTCTGGACTGGCAACTGAAGGAAGAGGAGGTGGGGAGACTCTTAAGGTTTCTGACCTCTTGGTAGAGACTGTTGCTATTGTTGTGTTCCCAGATGCTAAGAGGATGTGCTGGGACACTTTCTAGGGGTGGGTCACCGTGCTCTTTCTTTTTTTCAAAAAATGCTTATTTTTAATTTATGTATATGAGTGGTTTGCCTGCGTGTCTGTAAATGCATAGCATGTCTGGTGTCTGTGGAAACCAGAAGAAGGCATCAGATGCTCTGAAACTGGAGTTATAGGCTATTGTAAGCCGCCATGTGGGTCCTGTAAACTGAACGCCAGTCCTGTGAGAGCGGCAGCAATTACTCTTTAATGTCTTAACTCTCTTTGAATTGCTGGGCCGCCTCATTCTTTCACAGGCCACAGCCTGGGCACTGCTGGTGTGGGTGGAGAGACGAAGAGCTCTGCTGGGTGTGCAGCGGGCATACCAAGCTTTCACACACACCTTACGTGCCAGGCTTTCAGGCTCACTTTATGGCTTGTCTCTTTAAATGCTTGCACCTCCTTGACTGGCACATCTCTGCCATTCATGTGGCCTTTCTGAGTAGGTTGGAGAAGAGACAGGGCTGTGACCTGCCATCAGATGCATGCTCTTTATCACCCATATGAAACAAAGGTAGAGTCTTACTGTCTCAACCCATCAGAAAGAGGAGCAGTCTAGGAGAGGCCAGCACTGGCCCAGACCAGATGGTATAAGAGACCAAGTAGAAAGAGTAATGACCATGTGTGTTAGACACCTAGCAGAAAGGGCTCTGACATCTCAAGGCTGGTCTCAAAGCCCCCACTAGTGCTATCTTTAATATAAGAGTATGCCTCAAAATTCTCCAAGAATTGGATACTGGAGACATGACTCAGTGGTTAAGAGCACTTTGATGCTCTTCCAGAGGACCCAAGTTCAGTTCCCAGTACACACATCAGGTGACTTATAACCACCTGTAACTCCAGTTCCAGAAGCCTCCATGGTACCCACACATCTGTCTCTCTGTCTTTCAGTCTCTCTCTCTCTCTCTCTCTCTCTCTCTCTCTCTCTCTCTCTCTCTCTCTCTCTCTCTCTCCCTCTCTCTCTCTCTCTCTCTCTC